CAGCAAAAACAGAGGCAGAGAGTGAGAGAAAGGAGGGGAGGGGAAGCGATGCAGAAAGCAGTCGAAAGTGCCTTGCTTGTCCTATCTCACCGTCTCATTGGTAAAAAACCAGGAAGAGGTTGTGGAGGAAGACAAGGAAGAAGTGTTCTCGTCTTCACTCACCTTGTGCCCTTCCTCTCCCACCGCTCGTCCGCTCGACAGAAAGAAGAGAGTTGCGGAGAGGGCGAGAGAGAGCTTCAAGCCCAGCAGAGGAAGAAGAGAGAGGAAGATACGAGAAGTGTGGAGGAAGTGGCCAAAAGAAATGCTACGTAATGAAAGAGGGGAAACCAGTTTCTCCTCTGCTCTTCCTCTTTTCTCTCTTATTCTTCTCTTCTCGCAGGGCATGCATGGAGCCAGGAAAGGGAAGGGGTCAAAGCAGATGAGAAAGTAATGGAGAGAGCTGTTCTTCGTCCCTCTGACCTCCTCCTCTCATTTTACTCATATCAGAAGGGTCTGGAAAGGAGTGAAAGGTAGGGCATGGACTGAAGCGGGGGAATAGGTGAAAGTGGATAAGAAACAATGTTAGACAGCTTGCCGAAGGCGGCCAGCTCGCAGCTTGCCTGCGGCCTGGCCTGCTGAGCCTGGTGGGCTCTCGAGGGTGGGCAGGGGCCTGCTGAGATCCACGGCCAGCACGCCCGGCTTGCTTTGAGGCAGGGCCAGCTGGGGAGCCTGGCCGGGCTGAGTGGGTTGGGTGAGTGAGTGGGGAGAGGGTGGAGAGGAACAGGGAGAAGAGGGTGGGTGGAGAGAGGAGGTAGAGGGAGCGCAAGGAAAAGGTGGGGAGAGGGGAGGGCGGGTGGACAAAGGGAGGGGAAGAGGAGGGAGTGGGGAGATGGGTGGAGAGGTAGAGGGAGTGGAGGGTGGGTGCGTTCTTTGGATTGTATAGTCTAAGGGTTTTCTACAAAGGGTTCCATATCAGGGATTTGTACAAAGGATCTATAGATTTCTATAAGGAGTATATAAAGACTGTGTATGAGGGCTCCATATAATCGATCTTTCAAAGATTTTTTATAAAGGACTCCATTTGTGGGAAACATAAGCGGTTCCTACAAGTTCTGTATCTCGAGGATCTGTAAGGTTTATATATCTATGAAGCTTTCTATATGGGCTCTATAGACCCCATAAGACAAATTAAAAAGTGATGGAGGTGATAAGAAGATGATAAGAAGATGAGTGGATGGGAGAAAAAGTGATGGGAGGTGAGGAGACATGAGATGCGAAGGGAAGGAATGAGTTAGGAGTGGGGGAGGTAGGAGGCAAGTGAGAGGGACAGGGTGGATCATTTACAAACGCCTTTAGGGGGACGCTCCTTGCGATGTGTGATTTTTGGATCTGAGTTCTTACAAAGCCTGAGAGGGGCACACCCCGTGCGATCTGTGATTTTTGGATCTGAGTTCTTACAAAATATTAGGGCGACACCCCTTGCGATTTGTGATTTTTGAACTTACTTGTCATGAAAACCTTTAGGGGACACCCCTTAAGATCTGTGGTTTTGGGATTTGAATCTTCACAAAACCTTAAGGGGGACACCCCTTGCGATTTGTGCTTTTTGCACTTACTTGTCATGAAAACCTTTAGGGGGACACCCCTTAAGATCTGTGGTTTTGGGATCTGAGTTTTCACAAAACCTTAGGGGGATATTTAAGAAGGAGAGAAGGGAGGGTGGGGGAGGGTGGAGATTCCAGGAGAGAGAAGGGGGAAGAGGAGAGGTAGAGGGAGTGGAGGTGGGGGAGAGTGAGGAAGGTGAGGGGAGGGGGTAGTGGGAGGGATAGGGAGAGGGAGGGAGGGGTATGGGAGGATGAGGAGGAGGAAGATAGTGAAGATGATGAGGTGGATGAAGAAGGGGTGGAGTGAGGTGGGATGGGACGGGGTGGGTGGGCACGGCTGCCTGCTTCCGCACGCCCAGCCTTCCCTGCCCGGACCGAGCAGAAAGCATGTAAATATCGCGCTAAAACAAGGGCTAGGGATTTCACACATCTGCTGGCAAAATCTGGCGGAAGTGACCTGTGGTCCAGCAAAACACCTGTAAATACCGCATGAAAACAAGGGCTAGGGATTTCACACATCTGCTGGCAAAATCTGGCGGAAGTGACCTGTGGTCCAGCAAAACACCTGTAAATACCGCGTGAAAACAAGGACTAGGGATTTCACACATCTGCTGGCAAAATCTGGCGGAAGTGACCTGTGGTCCAGCAAAACACCTGTAAATACCGCGCTAAAGCAGGGGCTAGGGATTTCACACATCTGCTGGCAAAATCTGGCGGAAGTGACCTGTGGTCCAGCAAAACACCTGTAAATACCGCATGAAAACAAGGGCTAGGGATTTCACACATCTGCTGGCAAAATCTGGCGGAAGTGACCTGTGGTCCAGCAAAACACCTGTAAGTACCGCATGAAAACAAGGGCTAGGGATTTCACACATCTGCTGGCAAAATCTGGCGGAAGTGACCTGTGGTCCTGTAATACCGAGTTAAAACAAGGGCCAGGGATTTCACACATCTGCTGGCAAAATCTGGCGGAAGTGACCTGTGGTCCAGCAAAACACCTGTAAATACCGCATGAAAACAAGGGCTAGGGATTTCACACATCTGCTGGCAAAATCTGGCGGAAGTGACCTGTGGTCCAGCAAAACACCTGTAAATACCGCATGAAAACAAGGGCTAGGGATTTCACACATCTGCTGGCAAAATCTGGCGGAAGTGACCTGTGGTCCAGCAAAACACCTGTAAATACCGCATGAAAACAAGGGCTAGGGATTTCACACATCTGCTGGCAAAATCTGGCGGAAGTGACCTGTGGTCCAGCAAAACACCTGTAACTCAGATCCGAAAACCATGGATCGCAAGGGGTGTCACCCTAAGGGTTTGTGTAATAAATATGTTTCAAAAACACGAATCGCAAGGGGTGTCCCCCTAACTAAGGTTTTGTAAGAACTCCATTACTAGCCTAAAGGTTTTTTCAACCAATACGTTCCAAAATCAAATCGCAAGGGGTGTCGCCGGGGGCTGGGGCCCTCCCTCGGCTTGGGCTGGGGTTGGGCAGGGCTGCAAAGCTTGGTTTTGCCCCATAAACGCCCCTCGCTGGGGGCTGGGTGAGGCTGCCTAGGGGCTGGGGCTGAGGCTGGGGGGGTGGGCGAAAAGGCAGCTGGGCTGGAGGCTGGGGGCAGGCGCAGGCCCTGGCGGGGTGGGGGCGGGGGGGCTGGAACTGGGATGGGGCTAGGACTGGGTGGGGCTGGGGGGTTTGGGGCTGGGGGCTGGGGCTGGGGTCGGAGGCTGGGGGCTGGGGCTGGGGTCGGAGGCTGGGGGGCTGGGGCTGGGGCTGGAGCTGAAGATTTAAATTTTTAAAATTCTTTAAATTCTTTAAATTCTTTAAATTTTTAATTCCGGACGATTTCAAAATTTAAAGAATTTAAAGGATTTACACCCTTTAAATTTTTTAAATTCTTTAAATTTTTAATTCCGGACGATTTCAGAATTTAAAAGATTTACCCCCTTTAAATTTTTTAAATTCATTAAATTTTTAATTCCGGACGATTTCAGAATTTAAAGGATTTACTCCCTTTAAATTTTTTAAATTCTTTAAATTTTTAATTCCGGACGATTTCAGAATTTAAAGAATTTAAAGAATTTAAAAAATTTAATCCCGTGGGCTGGGGTCGAAGGCTGGGGGGCTGGGGCTGGAGCTGGAGATTTAAATAAATTCTTTAAATTCTTTAAATTCTTTAAATTTTTAATTCCGGACGATTTCAAAATTTAAAGAATTTAAAGGATTTACCCCCTTTAAATTTTTTAAATTCTTTAAATTTTTAATTCCGGACGATTTCAGAATTTAAAGGATTTACCCCCTTTAAATTTTTTAAATTCTTTAAATTTTTAATTGCGTATATACACAGTATATATTAAGACACAGAGCAAGCCCTACGCCAAATAGGACCTAAAGGTCCTACGTACTTAGGGGTTTAGGGTTTAGGATTTAGGGGTTTGACAGTAGAAGGTTCAGGTGTTCAGAGTTTGGGGATTACGGTTTCGGGTCCAGGGCCTCATGTGTCAGAGTCTAGCTTAGGGACTCGCAACGCTTTGTTGGATGCATCATTCATGTCGGGGTTTGCATAGGGGTAGTTCTCTAAATTAGCGTCTCTTTTCAGGTTTCCCCACTTTCTTGTAAAAAGGACCCTAAACCCTAAACCTTAAACCTAAACCTAAACCCCAAGCCCTAAACCTAAACCCTAAACGGGACCCTAATTCAGAGAACTAGTCATCTCTGGGTGTCTGAAGCCCAGGTCCTCGTTGACGTCCGGTGCAAGGAGGACTCGATGTCGACCTGTGCATAGATAGGTGGTTATCAAAACTAGGGGTTTAGGGTTTAGGGTTCGGTTTATGGTTTAGGATTTAGGGTTTAAGGAGGTTCCTTATTAGGGTTCTATATATGGGTGTTTGTCAAAATTAGGGTCCCCTTTTTGGGTCCCTAATATAGTACGGCACCTAATATGTAGGGTACCCCAAAAGGGACCATGATTTTGACAACTACCCCTTTGGTTCTGTATAGTCTAGCGCTTTGATATTTGTAGGCTTCTCCATGGGTTTAATGATTTTTGATGAGGTGCCATAGGGCTGCTCAGTGTGCCGTGAAGCCCACCAGCCTTCAAGCACTAACCCCGCACCTAAGTCCTCCACCCTGTCAGGAGATGGATGTGTCCATGATACCCGGCTCCGTGACGAAGGCGACCGATGGGCAAAGCTTCGGGTCATGTGAACCGGTCTTTTTCACTCGCGACTGGCTTTAGTTCAATCACAGTGTCGGGCTTTCAGGTTGGCCACAGGCTTTAAGAAGGCATGGGTGAAACGTGCTGAATTTGGTCGCGGAAGGGGGGCATGCCAACCAGACAGAGACATGCGCTAATGTTTGCGCACGCTACCGCATCAACTGCTCAGAAACCCAGGCTTTCACCAGAGGCGCATTGAGCCATGGCTTCAGCAGTTTGGCGCCGGAAGTCCATCGTTCGTGCTACCGTCATGGCCGCCTCCAGGGTAAGGCGCTTGCTAACGGTCCTGACTCTTCTGGCCGCTTTTGTGCTGCCGATGTGTTCTTCTCAGGTCAACTTTGCCCTTCGTGGACAAGGCAGTGTGCGGTCGCTGCGCAAGCGCGACGGACTTGAGCTGCACACGAAAGCTTCGCACAAGAATTCTGTGCTGAGCAGGGAAGGAGCAGATGTGCTCGAAAGCATTCAGCTGGCTCGTGGAGCTGGGGACTGGATAAAAGTCAAGTCTTTGTATGCGTCTTATACTGGAGCCGAAATTCAGGTTTTCAACGCGGTCTTGCATACATCCGTAGAGTGTGTGCAATACAAAGCAGGCGCTGATATCTTTGATAGTTTATGCGATATGGCTATCACGAAAACATCAGCCACCTACTCAGCAGCTCTCAAGATATTCGCAAAGTTGGGGCGCAACGCGACTGTCAAAGCGCTTTGGGAGGAAGCTCGAAACAATCCGGCATGTGAGGTGAATGAGCCTTTGGCAGCAGCACGAATAGATGCTGCTGCAGAAGAAGGGGATGTTGAATCGGCTCTTTTGGTGTTGAATTACATGACCCAGACAAACGTCAGTATCAATATCGCTCACGTCACGAATGCCATCCGTGCCTGCTGGACCGCCGGAGGTGTCATGTACAAGACAGCTGAACGGCTGTTTAACTTGACCGCAACACTGGGACTGGAACCCAACATCGTGACCTTTTCTTGCCTTGTAGGGGCTTACGGTGCAGCGCCGCTGGAGAAGGCCCTTGCTGCATATGCAGACATGCGAAGGATGGGGATTCAGCCCAATCCACCATTCGCAGACGCTTACCTGGGTGCCATTCTACAGAAGCCGCTTGCAGCCAGCTGGCGGCCAGCAGAGATCATGGATGCGCTTCAGCTAATCCAGGACGAGGCCCCGGAACGCATCTGGGTTCTTGTTAAGGAATTTAGTTTGAAGTTACCATAGTTAATAGGGATCTATACTAAATAATATGGTTTCCTTAGTATGGTAATTTAGATTAGTAACAAGAACCCAGGCATTGAAGCCGCCAAGCTGACCTTGAACGAGTTCAGGGACCTCGGTGTCGAGCTCAGCGACTTATCACGGCGTATAGACGCAGCACTCGAAAAGTGGGATTCCTAAACACCTGAAAAAGTTCATGTTTACGATCGGTTGGAGGCTTTGATGTGGCCACACAGCTGGAAAGCTGCGATCCCATGTCGGGATAGCACTGCTGTTGTGCATAGGCATACATTGAAGCATTTTTGAATTCTGGTGGAGAGAAGGATGGTTCTCGCACGTTAACCAAAGCGTCGTCTTCCCAAACCGAGGAGTTGAGGGTTTAGTACTTGGAGGATCATGGGACTTAGTAAGTGAGGTTATAAGTACCTTAATTGGGGTTATAAGATGTTATAAGTATATTTACCCTAATTATAACCCTAGCTACTAAGTCCCATGATCTTTTAAGTAGCTTGTTTCGCTCCGCGTGAGCCGGCTCGGCGCAAGCAGTGGTGTTCGCACAGAAAGAAGCAAATCAAGCTTGGGTGGATGATACATAGGGCTTTCTGACGTGCAGCAGGGGGCACCCGAGTCAAGAATTATGGCGCATTATGGAACAGCTTCTCGTGGTGAGCACCTGTAAACTGTCATGACGACGATCTGGGCCCGCGCTTGCAAACCCCTAGGACTTCGATTTAGGATCCATAAGTCGCACTAAACCATACATGAAATTCGAAAACGCCCTGTTAACATCCCGCAGAACGTCGTCAACAAACCATATCAAACTCAAAAGATCCCCTTCAACGCCAAATACAACCCTGTAACATGAACACCTTGCGAACGCCATGAAAAGTTTCAAGTCCTTGCGCAACCTACCCCCCAACAGAGAACCGAAACTATACGGGATGCTCCGGAATTTACACGGAATAGAGGAGAGGATCCTTGCTACAACGACGCCCAAGGAGGAACGGAAGCCTCATACCATCTCAAACCCGAAGCCGCCTTTCAAAAAGATCTTCTTCAGAACAACTCTACAATTCTGAAAGCAAGGCAGTTCTTGTAGAGATTGGAGTCAGCGTTGGGCCGGTAGACACTGTATCAGGGGGTTTGGGGTTTAGGGTTTAGTCTGAAGCTCGATCCTGAGACCCTAAAGACAAAATCCTTAAACCCTGTGCCTATCAGAACTCTAGAAAACCTTGCGACATCCTAGAAGCTGCGAGAGCGCAAAGACCACAATCCCTCTCTGTTAAGGACAGTGCCTCGCAAGATAAGGCAATTCTATACGAGATTTTCGCACTATGCCCGGATGAACGGGTCTTGGGCCCTTTGGGAGCGCGTTTCAGGAACACTTCGAGTCGCAGCTCTTGCCTGGCCTTCGAGCTGCAGATCCACAGCCGCTAGTTGCCCCTTGCACATTCATTCATAGGGACCCTTTGGGGGGTAGGGGGGAGGGGGTAGGGGACTGTACTTCCTTAAATGGGCCTTTGTGAGGGGGTTTCAGGTTCACGGATTTCTCAGGCATCCGGTAGGGGTTTCTCTCGTAAATCAGAGACGTATGCACATGTGATTCTTTAGCGGGCGCGAACAGAAGTCATAACCATTACAGAGAGCTTCCCAGAGCTGCCCAATAGAGGGGGCTTAGGGCTGAGGGTGGCTTGTTCGGATCATCCGGAACCCTCGAAACTCGGATGCCGGGCAGTTCAGGGCTGAGGGCCTTCGGGGATCTGGGGGGATTTTGCGGTCGAGACCTTAAGCCGAGACTCAAGATCTAAACCCTAATTCCTCTGCCCAAACCTATAAACCGCAACTCCAACCCCAAAACCCAAGACCTACAGCGAGTTGAAGAATCAGGTCGGTGTGGATTCGGGACGGGCTTTGTGGTTCAGGCTCGGAGGCTTGCAGCGTTTAAAGTTCGACAGGCCCCAAGCCTTGCACGCAAAACCCCAATGGTCTAAAAGAACTATAGTAGAGGCCAGAAAGCTACAAGGTCGATACTGGAGGCAGTGGGCTCCAGTTCCCAAAGTTCTTTGCGTTACAGTTCAGAAAACATCAACGTTCCAGCTTCTTTTGATCTGGTTTCCATGACACAGCCTTGAGCACTTCTGCTTGTTCTACTACGTACCTTGGGACTCACGTTTGTCGAGGAATCAGTCTGTAGCATAGCGAGACGGTCAAGAATCCGCATCAACCGGTGGTTGGCTTAAACCATCTCGGGGTGCACGAATTTGTCCAGTTTGCTGCTCACATCGTCGGGTGCAGCTAATGCTGCACGGTTTAGGGTGCGCGGTTGTTTTTGTTTCTCCGTTTTTGGGAGCAACGTGTTTAGCATCAGGGGTGCAGGAGCATGAGTTTCGGGTTTCGGGGTTTTCAAACTTTGTGTTTGCGGTCTATAGGTGTTCTGCGTTTAGTGTTTAGGACCTCAAGTCCTGTTGCAATTTGGGAGTTTCCGAAAATTGTACACTCATTTTGGGGTCCTTATAATAATGATCCTGGTATTTAGGGCACCATAGTAGGGTCCCCTATTTGCGGAAACTCCCATTTGGGGAGGCCGCCTTGTTGACCCGAGCCCGACTCCCTGCACCCAAACTGCTTCGCACAACGATTCCGTCGATCGTACGCTAGTGAGGTACCTTACTGCACCGTGGGCTACCGCTCTGGTGTCTACGCAAAGGCGGGGTTCCTGATTGTACTTATTGTTATAGTATAAGGGGCCCAGAACCCTATTCTAATTAGGTTCATGTTTCTTCATCCAGAGGGTCCATATACCATACTATTGGGTCCCAAAAGTCATAATGGGGATGGTCTTTTGGGAGCCAATTCCAAAATGGTAGTACATATGGACCCTCTTGGTTACAAGACCTGTGCACGTTCGAAATCAAACCCCCTAAACACCAGACCTGAACTTCTTTTTGCGTCCTCTAAACCTACCTGTCTTTGTGGTTGTTCCGCTCCTCTGCGCGCACTGCACATTTAGGTACGATCTTGTTATAATGACGGCCACAAGCATTGCGATGTGTGTTTGGGACTTGTTGTAGCAGGCTTTCGGCGTTTAGGGGCTGCTTACGGCGCTCAGCTTTCAGATGTGGAGGAGCTCATGGACAAGCACGGGCTGCAGAATGTGCGCAATGGCGAGGGTGTGGCCTTGGGCCCAGCCTCTGTAGCAGGGGAGACATTGTAATAGTACACTTTCCTTTAAACTTGAACCCTCAAGCCCTAAACCGGATGTGGCAAGGCCTTATCATGGCTTCCAGGGTCTTTACTGGTATGAGGGTGGTACAAGCCATTTGAAGCCCAGAACCCCAACCCCTAACCCCCAAACTCTGCACACCATCCATGCATAACCCTTCCCACGATCCGGCAAGCCCGAGCTAGTTCTGATCAGCTGACACCTGGGGAGAGATCCCTGAATACGGAGAGCCTGAAGCCTTGAGCTGTTGACAGGGTTTAGGGTTTAGGGTTTAGGGGTTCAGGGGTTTCGGGTTTAGGATCGTACGTAACCATCAAAGGGTAGTTGTGAGGTACTAGTAAGCCCGTTATCACGGTCGCCAACGAAGGAAAGGCAGATCGGTTTAGGCACTTGTTCAAGGGATTCATGCACAAGGTAGTTTACCAAAAACTGAGGGCAACCCAGAAGCCAACAAACCTCTTTCAAGCCCAACCTCGAAGTATTAAGCCCTAAACAATACGTGTACCCGAAAAAGCCTGCTTTTTGGGGTTTCTTATGAAGGTTTCTACATACATGTCCGCTGAGTCTTTAACGATAAGAAACGGTTCTTTTCAGATCTAAGCCAATAACATTAGCAGCTCCAGTCTCCAAGATCCCCCTCCCCTAAGGCTTACAAAATTTCCGATGGACCACGCGATATAATTCTAGTTATACAGCGTAATATAGCTTTAAAAATGGAACCCTGCGCCCCGAAACTGCAAGCTGAAGCCAAGATCATGTGGACCTTCGACGGAAGTGGACTGGTTCGCCCAGCGACCGGAGCTGCAGGGACGGCCCGGGACTTAATTCAGGTGACTTGAAGATTCGGGCAGTGCTTTTAGCAGGGGCAATCTTGCTTAATTTTTCCAGTGTGTAGGGTTGCGAGACCTCTTGAAGATACATGTTATTGTTACATCGGATTCGGGTTCATGGGCTGCCAGCGCTAAGCCCTAAAACTGCGTCCTGTGGGAAGGAGCGGCGTATTCTGGACCCTAAGTTTAGAAAACTTCCCATACGCCTAGGAAAATTAGACACCGAAATACGGCACGAAGTCTCTGGCTGACGTAGGACAGTAACGACGGTTTGATAGATGAGAAAGCTGTTGTGGGTCGAGCCACTTGCTTGTAGGGATGTGAGATATGTGTTTTTATGAACTAGGTTTTCGGGCACAGGGGGTCGAGCGTGTGGGGTTGTTCGCTCTTGGTACTTGCAGGGTCTAAAACCTCAAACCTGAAGACCGCGTTCATTGCAGATCTGCACACCGCAGAACTGCATTATGCATAGGAGTCTGCGCTATCAGTATTATTCTGTACACATGACTCCAAATAGCTTAACTTAGATATGTACAAACTGTGCAAACAGATGTGACATGGAGCACAGCATCAACACTGAGGGCCCTAGATTCCTCCATCGCACACCTCAGACTTAAGACTTCTGAAATATTGGGCCGAGTGTAAACCCCAAGCTCCAAAGCGCGTGCGCGCCCAGGTGGTCGGCAAGACTGCCGGGGACGCTGGGGAGGTGCGGTGGTGCTGATAAGGGACTCGAGTGACGACACGAGAGCTGTAGCTTGTTTTTTTCTCGCACCCCTCGCCACTTCGTTTCAGACCTGTGGCCTGTGCTTTTTGGCCCCGGTGCGGTTCCTCTTGACACCGGCATAGGCTTTAGGGTTTAGGGCTGTTCTGCTCCTTCGAGCACCAAAAAATACAGAACATATCTTGACTGACGCCCCTCCCCCAAAAGGCACAGGGCTGCTCCGCCTCAAGGAACGAACGACCTGGGTTTCGAAACCGCGTTTGACCTCCCGCCCCTCTCCTCGACAAAAAGCACCTTTTCGTGTAACTTTCAAGATTTAGGTAGTCTCCGCTGTAGTGTAGGCCCCTTAATAATTAGAAGAGGGTTTTGGGGCCCATTATGCCAATGCTATAACTCGAATGAG